GGTGCGAGACATCCATTGAAGCGTAGTAATGGTCATGAGTCACAACCTTCACTGAGAGAGAGGTGCCAGATTAGTCGAGTGTGAGAGAAGGTTGGCATTTTGTTGGTAAATGGAGGCACGAGGACGAGGGCTCGTGGCGGCAATGGTTGGGCAGCCGGTGGCGGTGACATGTGCTAAAGCTTTTCTTCCTTTGCACTTTCTTGAAATGATAATCTACTTATAAGTTCTTCTTCAGCGGAAGCAAAGGAGGCTTTAGGGTTTTCTACCTTCCAAGTTCGAGTCATTCGCCGTGAGGATCAAGATCTTAAATTCTAAAAATAAAGTCACTTCGAACCTCAAATCATGTATGTCATGTCATATTGTGACCTCTGATTGAAAATGCGTGGGGGTACGATTAAGTCTAGAAAAAAGTTACTACATCCCGTAACATTCTTGCTATGCCACATACTTTAATTAAGTCTTTATAAACGTATTCATCATATGATTTTCTAATCTTAGTATTCCTTAATACTGTATCAAAATGTTGCCATAAAACCATATCCTCGGTGAAGCTATTGACTAGACCTTACCATCTGGGAATGTGTAGTGCGTATCCTGAGAATCACGAGATGAATACAACGATGCATTATGAAGACAAGTTCGGTTACGATGCATGTCCTGGAAGAAACTGTGTACGGTTAATGGAAATTTTAACTAAATTTGGCAACGTGCTGCGTAAAGGCCTGATGATGAATGAATGCATGCAGGTATGTCGGGGACACGCCATCGGACAGCAGCGATCGCATGGAAGAGAAACTGGACGCGAGACATCTGATGAAGACGCAGCATTCCATCAGTGGCATCGACCAATGACTTTCCACGCACTTTCTGGTGAATTGGACAAACGATTTCCATCTGCTTCATGCTTCGGGATCAGGTGCGAAAGTCTGCTGATCGACCACCTTGCAGCATGTGCATGCACGCAAGTGCTGCGGCAAGACGACAAGGGTTTTGGGGCAATCATTTCGTCGGCAAGATTTGACTTTCTCGGCCACCCTCGACCCCACTTCATGTGTCGGCAACATACAAGATTTGAGATATTAATATGCTACAGCAATCCAAATGGTAATATTCCATCCAAAGTTCGAAGAAATTTCATTGATTCGAGCATATTCTTTGCTATTATACTCAATGACGAGCATTCGATGCTAGATGGTAGCAACGAATGCATCCGTTCGTGTTAACAAGAGTACATATCGCTGAAAACGTAAACGTATTTTCTCCGGCACGACATTGTTTACCAGTCTGTCCCTGGAACTCAAACACGCTTACTCAATTAGGGAAATTTCTGACATATTACCCTCATCATGCGCCCTCATCATTTGTTAAAACTTTGGTCAACGGGAGCTATTAGATTTAGCCAAAGTAATGAGTTGTCTGCTTAGTAGTTAGCATATGAATGGCCGACATAGAACCCGAGGAACATGTGAAACGAGAGGTCATTTTCTCTGCTGCCGACACAATTCATTGGCCTCTTTACCACTGTCGCTCCCCTCCTCTCGATCAAGTGAGAAAAGGACAGATTAAAATTCTCTTGATTTGGCAGCGGGCTAGATCTAATTATTGCTGTATCTGTATTTGTACTTGTATTTGTACTTGAGTTCTCGCACATGCAGCACATGGCGTTGCTCGATGCCCTAGCATGGAAGATGCATTGAAGGTGGTAACGTTCGGATTAGAAAGATTTAGAAATATACAATCAAATTGTAATTGAGGGGTTGCACATGCCATTCAATGATACTGTTGACGCAATTAATTTCGAGTCCCCCATCCGGAGAATTAGATCTTGCTTGGTACCTTTATTTGGTCTTCAAGTGATTTAGGATAGGAATCAAGTACAGCTATAAATAATAAACAAAGCATATGTCGTGTACCATTTACGAGACATTGTCAAAAACTTATAGTAGAAGAACGCCAGATCATTCTTGTCATTAAAACGACGATCATGCTCATAGTAATCGTCTGATTTGACAATCGCGAACTTTTCTGCGGACCGTCAACAGGAGAAAGTGTTAAATGCAACATCGCATCATGTATTGAAGTAGTAATACTTTCCAATGACGCAATCAATTTGAAACCATTCTTTCGACAAGTGTCGTAAAAAGCTCACTCGTGATCTGAGCAAACACGGCAGGACTTGAGCCTCGACGCTTTCCTATATAATGTGAGATCACACGATACGATCATATGGGGCTCGAGCACTTCTTTTTCGATTATAATCTTCGAACATTTGTTGCCTACAAAAATTACATTAAAACACCCATATGCTTACAGAATAACCTTAATCAAATCTTGCCCGTGATTGCCGTGGAAGCAGGGACAAAGCGAGGCTAATCATGATGAATCAACAGCAGTGACTCGCCAAACAAGAAGGACCTATCTTGAGCTTTTCATGGCCTCGAGCAAATGAACTTTAAAGCGTACGATCACATGGTCGAAAGGGATAATGCGTCCAAGTGAAGCAGCTTCTACTAGCTTCCGATTTCTGCAGTCTCTTTCGGTTTTCAAAATCCACCTAATTTTGTGGCCTTTAATGAACAAAGATTAGCCCCATTGCATCGTTTGCATGTGTCCCTTCTCCCTTTTCATGAAGGGTATGCGTGGCAGCCTTTTCCTCTTTCAATTTAGTCACCGCCAACTCAATTCATCGGTGGGACTGTACTTTATATTTTGGTACATTGATTGTATAGATACATAGTTTGTATTAAGTCTGTCATGATTTGTGTGATGTGTGTCTCTTGAAGGTTATGTTTCAAAGCATAGTCAGTTCTCTAAAAAACAAAATACAAATGCTTACTCGACATGCATTCATAGGATAACCCACAAGAATTAGATTTTCCTAGCAGATTGCATAGACATCAAGAGATTCTAACGAATACTGAAGTGTATTTGGGCGAATCGGAGTGTAATTGCGTGTGCTGTTCTGACTAGATCTATTAAATGGGTGAATCAGGTCGAAAATGGTCCAACCAATACTAACCAATTTAACCCGTTCTTTCCAATTTCCTTATAATACAATTCTAGCGACCCATACTCAACCTAACCCATATCCAACCCGATCCATATTTCTAAAAGACTTCAATATTAAATCCAATTTAGAAAAACTTGTTTCTTATAATTGTTTTTAAAAATATATATATTGTTAAAACACTGTGAACAATTTTTATAATTTTAAAAAAGAATTCTGATTTTTTTTTTGTATTTCTATATTTTTTTCTTTCCAATCTAGGGTCGCGGTTCTATTAAAGCACATCGAATAATTATTGGAATTTATAAATTTGTTTTTCGACTAAAGATGACGAACACACTCCTTACTCGAACTATCTCTTGGAATTTAGAAATCTCTCTCTCGTGAAAAAGCTTTGGCTTTACGGTGCTAAATTTTTACATTGAATAGGAACCGAGGCACAAAATATTCTGTGTCGACAAGTAAAATTAGATTTATGGGATCAACTTTTCCTTCCTATAATTATTTGAGATGCTCGATATATTCTAACATCGTCTACTTTTCGAGGTATTGTTCTCCACCCTACACTGACCATAAGGAATTAAAGAGTTCTTATAATAAATGATGAATTAAAAAAAGAATTGAGTGTGAGGGTTTATTTTGGAAGGTCAATTCAAGAACGATTGAGGAAATAAAACGTGTATGTACATTGCCTGAAATGCATAAATCATATTAAGAAATTAGGGTAAATTTCTATACCAAACTTTGGCAACTTTTTGTATTCTGACTGTAATCACTGAACACGCTAAAATTTTAACTTGTTGCAATCAATTCTGAAGTTGTTTTTTTGGGTGGAAAATCAATTATGTAGTTTGACTAGGATCAAATCAATCTTTTTTGAGAAGAGATAATAACACAAACAGTCCCTGAAGTCTGGCTTAATGTGTAATTTGGTCCATCAACTTTTAATTTGTTATATGTAGTCTCTGAACTTTAACCTAATGTTCAATGTGGTCCCTAAACTTTTAATTTATTCAACGTGATCCCTGGACTTTTGGTACATGTTCATTTTAGTCCATGAACTACATGAAAATGTTCAATGTAGCTTTCAATTAATTCAAGTTTAGGGACTACATTGAATATTTTAATATAGTTCATGGACTAAATTGAATATGTACCAAAAGTTCAGGGATCACATTGAGCAAATTAAAAGTTCAGGGATCACATTGAACATTATGTTAAAGTTAGAGACTATATTGAACAAATTAAAAGTTTAGGAACCAAATTGCATATTTGGTCAAAGTTCATGGACTGTTTGTGTCATTTTTCCTTTTCGAGAAATGCTAACACGGCGATCAAGTAATAATGACTTAGCGTCCAGAAAATTTGGCTGCCTATTCGTCATGTCAGCAGTTCGCCGGAAAATTGCCAGGATTCTAGTCAAAGTGCATTTGATTGTGTAAAAACTTCAAACTTTAGCAATATTAAGTGATTGAAATCATAATTTGTCGGCCAAATAGAATAACTCGTAACACTTGAGAGCGACTACGATTGCAATTTAGCCAAAACAACTAGGAATCTAGGGGCAAAGTTAGCATTTTCACCATACCCACGCTAATGAATTTCAAGAAATCCTTTTCCACAATCCAAATTGGTCGAAAAATCAGCTAGCAGCACAGACTTCCTACAATAAGCATTAAACATTAATGGCCAACTACAATACATCGTGGATGTCCCCAGGATTCCAGCGAAGTTCCCCTTGTGAGAAACCCTAGTAAATCATCCGACCTTACTTTAATCCTCCTGTCCCACCGGATCTGCTCTTCCTAATTTGCCTACCACTCTCCTTACAAACTATATAGTAACAAAATCAAATCCAAGATTACCATATTAACACTAATCCCTCTCCTCTCTGTCTCTCTCAAATCACTTGCCCAAAATTGCTCCCTATGGACTGTACAATCGGACATACCCAACTCTCTCACTAAGAGAGAGATGTGAAGGAAACAATGCCAATGCCACAAGCTGCTATCTTTCAAAACCCGAGGTGGGTTCAAAGCAAAAGACAAGCACAGCCAAGTTGAGACGAAAGGGGCAAAGCCACAAGTTCTCTCTCTCTCTCTCTCTCTGGGTAATATCTAAATCTTTCTTCTCCTACCAAACCATGCCTACGCTCACTCCTCCGCACCTCGCCGTCTCTCCGCCCCTCCGCCTCCTCCTCCTCCTCCTCTACATAGCACCGACCACCAATGCCGCTGCTGCCGCGGAGATGGCCGCCCCTCGTCGGTGGTTCAAAGAAGCCCCCAAGTTCTACAACTCCCCCGATTGCCCCTCCATCGCTTCCCTCGACATCTGCTACGCCGGCGCGGTCCACGTCGCCATGACCCTCGACGCCGCCTACCTCCGTGGCTCCATGGCCGCGATCCTCTCCACCCTCCAGCACTCCTCGTGCCCCGAGAACATCTGCTTCCACTTTGCCATCGCCACCTCGGTTGCCACGGCTGACCACAACCGCCTCCGCCGCGCAGTCGCCACGTCCTTCCCATACCTCTGCTTCGGTGTCTACACCTTCGACGACGCGGCCGTTGCCGGCCTAATCTCCACCTCCATCCGCTCTGCCCTCGACCGCCCGCTCAACTACGCCCGCAACTACCTCGCGGACCTCCTCCCACCGTGCGTGCGCAAGGTGGTCTACTTGGACTCCGACCTAGTCCTCGTCGATGACGTGGCGAAGCTCGCCGCCACCCCGCTCGACGGGGACACCGTCCTCGCCGCGCCGGAATACTGCAACGCCAACTTCACCTCCTACTTCACTCCCACCTTCTGGGCAAACCCTAGCCTGTCCCTCACGTTCGAAGGAAGGAGAGCCTGCTACTTCAATACCGGGGTCATGGTGATTGACCTAAAGAAATGGCGCGAAGGCGACTACACGACCAAGATTGTGGAGTGGATGGAGCTCCAGAAGAGGATGAGAATATACGAGCTGGGGTCGTTGCCGCCGTTCTTGCTGGTCTTCGCCGGTCGCATTGCGCCAGTCGATCACCGGTGGAACCAACATGGGCTCGGGGGTGACAACTTTCGAGGGCTGTGCCGGGACTTGCACCCCGGCCCGGTGAGCCTCCTCCATTGGAGCGGGAAGGGCAAGCCGTGGGTCCGCCTCGACGCGAGCCGGCCGTGCCCGTTGGACGCGCTGTGGGCTCCGTACGATCTGCTGGAGGCGCGGTTCGCGATCGAGTCTTAACAAAGGAAGGAACGGTACGTACAGAGGGAGTTCTCTTCTTTTCTTTATTCACTCCAATGGACGTAAATTAGTTTTTCTTCTAATCTCTCCTCTTCTTTGTCCGAATCTTGATTCTTTTTCTCTTTTACTTTGGAGATTTTCCTCGTTTTGGCTCACAATTTCGAGAAGCGAAGATCTGAAAGAGCGAGGGAGATCTTTCGCTTCTCTTAATTTGATGAGGATGAGTTTGTATTGTACATCCTAAAACTTGATGATGACCAATACGACATGCGACATGGCAGTAGGTTAAAACTCATGTAGATCGTCAGTTTTTTTTGTTTTGATAGCTGCCCATGATCTCAATTCCATTAGGTGTGTATCAAGTGCCCGATCCGATATGATATTCCACATATAATACAAGTGCATCTTTCAAGAGATTTATTTCCTCCTTTGGCTATTCCATAAGTTGGTAACCCCGAAATCTTCCCACGTTCGAAGGGTTGGATTTGGATTCGTTCAAGACTTTACTTTATGTTGGTCAAACGCACTGCCGTTTCTAGAATCATAAATTGCCATGTTCGGCAACTTAGCTATCATCTTTACGGTGAGATCTCGCCGTAATTTATGGCTCCCTGTCGAACACGTGTGCAGGTCCGGAGTTTCCTCAATTACGGCGAAAGATTTCCTCATATAGTATCAATTGCTTTTTTTGAAACAAAAGGTGCCCACACCGAATTTTTATTGATTAATGTGCAATAAAAGTTAATTACATGTCAAGGTCATTGAGTATGCATCAAAACTTGGGCAACCATAATATCTAACAATGCTAAAAGCATTTTGGCTAAAAGTAATGGCACTTGTTACACACAGTACAATGATATGACCGACAAGTTTCTTTCAAGATTCTTATTGGAAGTTTCATGATGTAAGCAAAATTACTTATTCGCAGTTTCCATCGAGGGAAAACTTAGCCGCGCTTTGTTATGCCCTTGAAACTTGAAATGCTGAGCTTTGGAAGAGAATGGCAAGACGAAAAAGGATAGACTAGGTCTAGGTCTTATTGATTTGTTAGACCAATTAGAATCTTTTAGTCCCATTTTCAGGTAGCGAAACTTCAGGACGTTTTGTCCTGTCAAATTGGCAGTTAATACACAGAAGTCAAGACGCACGTTACCTACCTAACTAGCAACATTCACTGTCAATAATAAGTGTCTCGTTTAAGGATGTCGGGGCCACAAAGCAGATTACGTTCTAGGGTGATTGATTCTCGGTTGATATTGTCTCGGCACGATTGACCAATTTCCTCCGCTTAATTGACGGGATGTGACTTTAATGTGAAATTTTAAAAGAGCAAGAAAGAAAAAGCCAAAAAGGGAAAAAAAAAAGTGAAAGAAATGTAACCAAAGTCTCGATGGTCTTCATGCATCAAAAATTGGAAAATTAGAAAATGGTCCTCTTGTTGATTTCCTACGGTCAAGGAAAGCGGCATGGCGAGATTAAAGGCTCGACAATATGATTATGAGTTCAAAATAAAGTACTTATTCTACATTTGGCACCCTCTTGCCAAAGCATAAAGAAGAAAAGATCGTATATCGATTTACACGTGGATCAATCATGCGTTTTCACATATGGTTGACAACAATTCACGAACATCGGCGAAATTATGGTAATGAAAACTACATCTGTCAAACTAGTGGGTCGGGTCGAACATAGTCCGACCCAAATAGACTCATTTAACCCGTTTTGATCCATTTTCATGTAATGCAAATCTAATGACCCATATCTGACTCGACATATACCTCACTCATACCCGACTTGACCCCTATTGTTAAAACACTTCCATATTTAACTCAATCTAGGAAAACTCATATTCAAACTGAGATGAAAGTGCGGAGTGAGTGAGTGTGAGATTGACTGAGGGCGAGAGAGATAAGTTGGGTTTAATAAGTTGTAAACCAATTTATAGCTCATTTACGACCCATTTATAGCCCATTTAACATCCATATTATGTTTTTACCCATTTATGACCCATTTATTGAATATAACTAACTCATTTATGACCCGTTTATTAATATATGGGTTAAAAAATGATTTATGACCAATTTTGACAGGTCTAATGAAAACCATTCTCCTTTTAAAGATCGTTGCAATACTTGTACAATGTAAGAAAATAATGAGTCTTTTGATGTTAGATTAACTTGATTAGTCAAATGAGTGTAGCATAGAGCCATTTATAGAGCTCACATACTTAATACACTCAACCACGGGAAAATTGTCCAAAAAGACTTAGACTTATTGCACTTTTACCAATTCAGTTTGAAATATTTTAATTGTGCCAATTAAGTTCTAAACATTTTCACATTTTGCCAATTGAATCGATTCGACTGATTTTGACTGGAAATTGCTGACATGGATGCTAGCCTTCCTATGTGGTATGACCGGTGCTAAGGTGGACAATTTTTAATAATATTTAAATAATTTTTTCTCTTTTTTTCTTTTCGTTTTCTTGCTTACTTTTTTCATCTTTTCGTCTTTTCTTTTTTCCTTTTCTCTTCTCTTCTTTTTTCTTTTTTTCCTCTGCTAGCCATCGATGAGGCCCGGCGATGGCCATTAGAGGGAAAAAAAATAAAAAAAAATAAAATGAAAGAAAAGAAGAGAAAAGGAAAAAAAAAGTAAAGATGGAAAAGAGAAGAAAGAAAAAGAAAAAAAAAAATAAAAAAATTCGAAAATTTTTATTAAAATATTATTAAAAATTATCTGCGTCGGTGAATTTCGGCTAAAATTAGTCAGATAGACTCAATTAGAAAAATGTGAAAAGATTTAGGACTCAATTGGTATAATTAAAAGGTTTAGGGACTGAATTAGCAAAAGCGCATTAAGTTTAAGAATTTTTGAACAATTTTTCCCGCTCAACCGCATACATACTAAGATAGCGAAGGTTGATCCAGGGCTGACGATATGATGATTGGTGCCATGTCATTGTATTTCTTTTAATGAAAACGGGTCGCCCGTGTGTTAAGATGTATAAGTTTGTAGTTAGTCATTTTCTTACGGAGAAGTTGTCACTATGGGTGATAGTGCCATTTCTCGATACGACTTTCTATTTATCAAAAGATCGAGAATTGCAGTTGATTGGATTCTTTTCGTAGGTTTAATTCGCGGATCATCATCGTACCTTCTCACGGAAGTTGTCGGTTTTTCCTTTTTTCTCGTTGGATGCTGCCTTAAGCCGAGATTAGCTGGGTTGATTAGTGCCCATATTCACAACATAAGAAACATTTCTTTGCTTCCCAAGAACTGTCGGATCTGCCTCCATGTAGACGAAACACCGAAAAGAACACTCAAACGACCATCATTAAGTCAAGTTTTTAACTTAATTAACACTAAATTATGAGCTCCTTTTCATATTGTATGTAATTAGGAATAAATCTCACGGGAAGATTCTAGGAAAAATACCAAAAAAGTCATAATATCTATTCAGTAATAAATTTTTTAATTGGGTCAATTTAGTCATAAACCTTTTAATATTGGTACCAATTCAGTTCATCCGGCCACAGACAAGGGTGACCCTCGCCAAGGCAAAGCCATCCCTCGACGGCCATGGCCAATGGCTAGTGGCCGGCGACAAGCAAAAAGTACAGGGAAAGAAAAAAAGAAAGAAAGGAAAAGAATGAAAAAAATCAAAAAAATTATTAAAAATGATAAAAAAAAAATGTCCACGTCAGCGTCGGTTGTGCCATGTAAGACGGGCGTCCACGTCAGTAATTTTCGGCTTGAATTGGTCAGATTGGCTAAATTATTACCAATGTAGAAATGTTTAGAACTAAATTAGTCCAATTAAAATGTTTAAAATTGAATAAGTACCAATGTGATAGGTTTATGGCTCTCTTTTTTAATACTTTTCCCGATTTTTCTCTTTTTCTTATATCTTTCGGCACATCAGGGTCAGAGATCTGCAGGGATCTGAAGCTTCTAGCGCCTTGGAAATGATAATCAATCTCCGTTAAGTTAGAGCTCACGCATCATAAGTCAATCTCGGAGAAATCGAAGGCTTTTAAAGATTTGGGGGGGGGGGTCGCGGCCGCCGCCGGCCGCTGTCGCAGCTGTCGCCGCGGAAAAATTATTTTTTTTTTTCTTTTTCATATTGATCGCGAACACCGGAAAATTATGTTTCGGGAAAACATTTTCTGACTTCCGAAAATATTTTCCACCAAATGAACGGGCTAAGTCAACCTCTCTCTTTCTCTCTCTCTCTCTAATTACTGTCAGCAAGGTATCTCGTGCATCTTCATGTCGTAGCTATATAGATGGCGGGTCAACCATGTTAGGAACATTAGGTGTCCCTTTGGAGATATCATTAGGGTCAACTTATGGAGAAGATTTCACTAGCACCCCTAATCTTAGCAATAACTCCAACACGAATCAATAGTGATAGCCGACACGACTTATGTATATAATTGGTTTGCATACCCTTGCAATAAGATATAAAATCAATCATACTATTATCAATATGTATGTCGTACGATCAATTTTTCTCAAAATAATTCGTTTCGAAATTTTTTGCGTATATTTCGAAACTAAAATCCTCTATCGTAACTAGAGAAAGCGCAACCGTGTATCCAAATCCAAGAGTTAGATTAGGTTAATAATAATAAAAAAACCTACAGGACTTTATGTACTTGCTTTCACGTTAAATCAAATGGTGCCCCGAAAATCAGTTGATAACTTATCACATGGTTTGTATACTTCTATTAATCACGGTGATGTTACCACTATCACTGCATTAAGGCCTCTTGGTATCCTCATATATGTCGACGTTCGAATGCTAAATGAGTCAAGCTATTTGTGAATAGCTCGGGCCCTACTTAATGATTGATTACTCGAGAACAACTCGCCTGATATCTAGCCGAGTCTGACTGTCTTATTAGCTTTATTAAGTCAAGCTTGAGCTCACCATTTGCAGGTTGATAAGCTCGCGTGCCTCATTGAGCTTCTATTATTTTTTCAAAAATGTATATTATTTGAGTCAAGGTCAAGTATCTTGATTTTCTATTGAATTCAATTTTGAGAAGAATTTTGAATATTGATTGAGCTTGAATCGAGTTTCGTGTACCGAGTATGTGAGTTGTGTCGAGCTTGACACTACATAGGGTCAGCTCGACTCGACGCAATCACACCCCTTCCTACCACCATCTTTCTTCTACCTCGCCGTGAATCATTGTCATCGCCTTCATCTCCTTCATTCATGTCGGAAACCAGCGGATTTAGTCTCCTCCTTAGATCTCAACGCTGCCCAAGTGCCCAGTAAAAGCTCGAGCTAGACCATGCAACAGTTTGCGAGAGAGAGAGAGAGCCGTGAATCATTGTCATCGCCTTCATCTCCTTCATTCATGTCGGAAACCAGCGGATTTAGTCTCCTCCTTAGATCTCAACGC